GGGCTCGTCCTCCTAAGACTGAGCTTGGCAGGAGGAAGAACACGTGTCCTCAAAGGATCGGTGCTGGGCAGAGCTAGGTACGCACCCTGCCGGGCCCCGGGGGCTGGAGACTAAAGCAAGCAGAGGGGCATGAACCAGTCTGTTGGTGGAAGAAAGGGAGAATCTGCTTCATACTCGTGGACTTCTTTGTTTCTTTTTTCTGCTCGAGTAACAGCAAAGTTTGCATTTCTCTTTAGGGTATTGGGCTGGGGGCGGAATGAGCCAGCAGTCAAGTGAATCCAGGCCGAGGAACTGAGGAATAAGCAAGCCGTCAGCTTCTTGTCTAGATTTTGCCTCACGTTACTTGTTCCTCTCGTGCTTTTTGCAAAAGGGTAATACCGGGTAGAGTAAGCAATTTTGTGGTTTACCCAGTTTTAAATATAGTCTTGAGGTTTCCCTCTTGAGCACGTTGAAGAAAACTAGGTTACGATAGTGACATACAAACGTGTCAGAACAGAAGCTTGTGGTATGTAGTACGATATGAGGTGTCGTTTGTTGTTTTTTCCCCAACCGAGTCTTGCTAAGTCCGGAACCTATTGCCTCTGCCTCCTGAGTAGCAGGAGTACCAGCACGCTGGTGAGTCCACTGCCCCGGGTTTGTGCACAGGAGATTAGCATGCCTGAGGTTATGGAAGACAAATAGGTTAAAGCAATAGAGTCTGGGAGTATGTTCTGTGTTTGCAGATTGTTAAGTGAGGAAGCAAGGAGGCTACACACAGACCTTAGCAACTGAAAACTAATTTGTGTTGAACTTCTATGACTCCTATGGTTCCTTGTCATTTTTGCAGGGCAGAAAGACATGCATGCAACTAACAGCATACATGGAGTGATTTACTAGTATGCTCTGAATGTAGACTATTAAGCAGGTCAATATCATTTTCCCTTTCAGTATCTTTTATTTTTTTTTTGGAGAGGTTTTCTGCTATATGTTGTGTATGCTTACCAGACAATGACAGAGAAATAACAGAAAGCGAAAAATCACCCCCTGGGGGGATGGCGGTGCTGCAATCCCTTCTCCATTCTCTCGGAAACTTGGACACACATGCACAAGCACCTGGCATGAATCCAGGACTTGAACGGCAGTCAACTACATGGGAGTCCAGCAACATAGCCATTACGCTATCCGCTGGTCCCCATTTCAGCATCATTTTAAAGAAGTCTTCAAAAAGATAGAGTCCAGGGACCAGCAGCTGGCATAATGGCTCTGTCACTGAACTCCCATGTAGTCTACCGCGGTTTGAGTCCCGGACCCGGTGGCTTAAACTCACACTGGGCACGTGTGCGTGCGTGCCCAAGATACCAAGAGGAGAATGGAGGAGAAGGGATTGCAGCATGGCCATCCCCCCAGGGGGTGATTTCTCACTTTCTGTCTCTGTCTTTCTGGCGAGCACACACACCCTATAGCAAAAACCTCTCCAAAAAGAAAAGATAGAGCCCAATCAGAATTTATGTCTTTCTTCATATACTAATAGTTTCCTATGAGTCTATTGAACTGAGAGGAGTGAAGGTGTCATTTGTCCAGATATGGAACAAATACAACCAATTTTATTGAGGTCCTTTGTTTGTTTTTAAGAGATTTTTCCTATAGGGTACATGCATTGGCAGAGAGACAAAGTGAGAAATCACCCCCCGGACGGATGGTCATGCCACAGTCCTTCTCCTCCATTCTCCTCTTGGGATTTTGGGCATGCACACACATGGGCACAACATTAGTTTTAAGCCTCCGGGTCCAGGACTTGAACCTCGGTTGGCTATGTGGGAGTCGAGTGATGAAACCACTACGCCATCTGCTGGTGAGGCCCTTTGTGGATACAGATATGGGAGGAAACCTCAAAGTGCTATCTACATATATTTATATGGAACAGGGACATGTATCTGCACGAGAGCATGTCAGAAATTTCATGGAAAACTGGAATTAAGTACAAGTTTTGGCCCCACCACTGTGGTGCAGCAGTGATACAAATGCCGTGCAAAGCTGGAAACCATATGGCTGACCACTGTTGGAATCCCCAGGTCAGCTTGAAAGTGTGAACTGTGTCCAAGATCCTGAGGAGGACACGGGCTCTGGAAAAGGGATTCTCTCTCTCCCTCATTCTCTGTCCCCATCTTGCATAGAGAGGTGCTTTCCTCGGTGGGGGGAGTTACTCCTACACTACCGCTGGCCCCCTCCTATTCTTGATGTTAATACCAGGTGGGGATTAGGACCAGTAAATAGCATAATGTTTGCATCACTGTATTCCCACATAGTTGACTGCAGTTTGAGTCCTGGACCTTGTGACACGCTGGGTGTGTGTGCACGTGTGCCCAGAATCCCAAGAGGAGAATGGAGAAGAGACTTAGCATGGTCAAACCCCTAGGGGCTGATATCTCACTTTCTGTGTCTGTCAGAAAGCGGGTGCATGTGCCCTATGGCAAAAATCTGTGTCTGTCCCTGTCTCTCTGGCAGGCACACGTGCCCCATAGCAAAAATCTCTCAAAAAAAATAGTACTACTAGGTGGAGATTAATTTTATTATTTTGCTCAGTAGTGAAAGTCCCAGCCGGGCCCCCTCCCTTTTATTGTAGACTTTGCCCATAGAGTGCATGAGCTTGCGGGTGAGAGAGAGAGAAAGAAAGAGAAGGAAACCCCCCCTCCCAAGGGTTTCTCCTCCATTCTCTGAGGATTCTGGGCACATCGTACAAGCACCAGGTGTGATTTTCTTTCCTCTTTTTTTAGTTATAATCTAAAATTATTATTATTATTATTCAGTCTGACAAGACAGAGAAAGTAAGTTGCCAAGTCCAGGAATTGAACCGTAGTCAGCCATGTGGGAGTCTGCACTAACCATCACACCATCTGTTGACTCCCACCCAGGTGTGATTTTCAAGCCCTTGGTTCAGGACTCTAGCTGTATTCGGCAATGCACACCTTAACCATCATGCCACCTGCTGACCTCTGAAAGACCACTTTTAAACTCAAAGTCCAGCCATTTCCAAGTATTGCTACTCAGCCATCCCTTTATTGTTTTCTTCCATAATTCTTATTAGTTAAATGAGGAAACTTCAAGAAGTTGGTGGAAAACTTTAAGTCCAGCAGAAGGCATGGAGGTTAGGGTAGCTGGATCCCACATGACCATCCAAGCTATTCAAGTTCCAGACCAGACAGCTTGAAAATCATGCCAGGAACATGTGCATGTGTGCCCAAAATCACAAGAAGAGAATGGAGGAGAAGGGACTATGGCATGGCCGTTGCCCCAGGGTATGATTTCTTGCTTTCGCTCTTGATTCTCTTTTTTTGAGAGATTTTTGCTATAGGGCATGTGCACTTGCTGGAGCGACAGAGAGACAGAAAGCAAGAAGTCAATTCCCAGGTGAGATGGCCACACCACAATCCCTCCTCCATTCCCCTCTCAGGATTTTGGGCATGTGCACACACGAGCCCAGTTTCAGTCTTAAGCCATCAGGTCTCTATGTGGGAGTCTAATCTCATAACTGCTATGTCATCTGCTGGTCCCAATTTCTTTTTCTTTTTTTTTTTTTTAAGAATCATTTATTTATTATTATCTTTTAATTTTGTTATAGGGCGTGTGCACTCACCAGAGAGAGACAGAGAGAGAGAGGGAAGTGAGAAAGTAAACCACTAGGTCCAAGACTCAAACTGTAGTTGGCTATGTGGGAGTCCAACACCTCGACCACCATGCCACCTGCTGGCTGCCCCCATTTTTTTTTTAAAAGAAATTTTTGCAGGGCCAGCAGTTGGCGTGGTAGTTAGGGTGCTGGACATTCCCACATGACTGACCACAGTTTGAGTCCCAAACCTGGTAGCTTACTTTCTCATTTTCCCTCTTTCTCTGTCTCTCTCTCTCCAGTCAAATTTAAATGAATGAGCGAATAAATAAAAATTAATAAATAAATAATTCTTAAAAAAAAAAGAGATTTTTGCTATAGGGCACGTGCGCTGGCCAGAGAGACAGACAGATATGGAGAGACAAAAAGCGAGAAATCACCCCCCAAGGGGGATGGCCATACTGCAATCCCTTTTGGGATTTTGGGCATGCACGCACAGCGTTTCCGTGGAGGGAACTATGCGCTATCACGACGGAACCTGCTGAGCAACGTGAGAAATCACACGAAGATCTAGAGAATAAATTTTATTGCTACCAGTTTCAAAATAAATAGATCTAACCAATTCAAAGAGCATATCAGAATTACAATAAAAATCACTGGATTTAGCTCACAGTTTAGGATCACTCTTTAAAAAGAGAAAGGAAAGGCAGAATTCACACTGGGGCCAGTAGATGGCAGAGCAGTTATGTCGCGGGACTCCCGCATGGCCAACTGCAGTTTGAGACCTGGACCTGGTGGCTTGAAAATCACGTTGGGCATGTGTGCATGTGCCCAAGACTCTGGGAAGAGAATAGAGAAGGGACTGCAGTGTGGCCGTCCCCCTGGATGATTCCTCGCTTTCCCGTTCACTGTCTGTCTCTCTCTGGTGAGCACACATGCTCTAAGGCAAAAACCTCTACCCACCTACCCCCCAAAAAATCATACTTACTAGGCACCCCTGTCCTTTCAGCTTTGAGAAAGGTACCAGAGGGATTTCCTTCTGTTTTAATTCAAGGTGGGATTTAATTTTTTTTTTTAAGAGAGATTTTTGCTATAGGGCACATGTGCTCGCTGGACAGAGAGGAACAGAGACAGAAGGCAAGAAATCACCCTCCCCGCCCCCAGGGGGGATAGCCATGCTGCAATCCTTTCTCCTCCAGTATCCTCTTGGGATTTTGGGCACGCACTCACACACATCTGGTGTGTTTTAAGCCGCCTGGCCCAGGACTTGAACTGTGGTCAACTATGTGGAAGTCTACCAATGTAACCATTATGCCACCTCCTGGTCCTCAAGCTGGGATTTTAGAACCGGCTTAGTATTCGGGTAAAAATTATCACTGAACATGATGGAAGGAACAGACATCTCTTTTTATCACTAGACAGGAAGTATCACTGGCAATGTTGAAAAAGAGAAGATCCTTTGTGGTTTCCCGTATTCCTAATTTGTACTGCATCCCTGCTCAAAGGAGGACCCTGACCCTAACCCCTACAGCCGGCTGCTGTTGCTGTGGGTTCCCGGGCTCAGTCCTGCACAGGCCTGGATGCCCGCTCCGCATCAGCTCCAGTCGGCCTCAATCATGGCAATCAGCTGGCTAAGCCTCTTCTTCATGTCGGGCTCCTCGGGAGCACGGCGGGCTTTTGTGTGCACCCGTACGTGCTCAGCAAGCTTAGACTTATAAATGAAGCCCTTCCCACAGTCGCCACAGGAAAAGGGCCTCTCGGGCCTGTGGATGCGCTGGTGCCTGAGCACGTGGCCCCTCTCCCGGAAGCTTTTATTACACTCGGGGCAGTGGAAAGGCCTCTCCCCCGTGTGCAGGCCTTGGTGGCTGAGCAGCTGTGCCTTCAAGCGGAAACTCTTGTCACACTGGGGACACTGAAAAGGCTTCTCTCCTGTGTGTGTCCGGATATGCTCGGTGAGTTTAGACTGCTTAGCGAAGCCCTTCCCACACTCACACGAGAAGGGCATCTCCCCGCGGTGCTGCAGCAGGTGGGCCTTCATGTCAGCCTTCACGCGATAGCTCTTGTCGCACTCCGGGCACTGGAAGGGTCTCTCCCCCGTGTGCAGGCGCTGGTGGCTCAGCAGCTGCCCCCTCAGGCGGAAACTCCTGTCGCACTCCGCGCACTGGAAGGGTCTCTCCCCGCTGTGCAGGCGGAAGTGCTCCGTGAGCTTGGACTGCCTGGTGAAGCCCTTGCCGCACTCCCTGCAGGAGAATGGCCTCTCTGTGCTGTGGGTGCGCTGGTGGGCCTTCAGGACGCCCTTCAGGCGGAAGCGCTTGTCACACTCTGGGCACTGGAAGGGCCTCTCGCCGCTGTGTACCCGCAAGTGCTCGCGGAGCTTGCATGGGTGGGTGAAGCCTCTGCCACACTCGCTGCAGGAGAACGGCCTCTGGCCACCGTGCCGCAGCCGGTGGGCTCTGAGCATACTCTGCAGGCGGAAGCTGAGCCCACACTCCGGGCACTGGAAGGGCTTCTCATCGCTGTGCAGCCGCTGGTGCCGCAGAAGCTGGCCCCTCTGGCGGAAGTCCCTGCCACACGTGGCACACCAGAAAGGCTTCTCACTGCTATGGACTCGGACATGCTCTGTGAGCTGACACCATCTGCTGAAGTCCTTGCCGCACTTCCTGCAGCATGGCCTTTCCCTGCTGTGCATGTGTAGGCTGACCTGCAGCCTGCCACGCAGGTAGAAACACCTGTTGCACTCCGGGCACTTGAAGGGTGTTGCTCCTGTCCGCACTGTGTGCTGTCTGGTGAGCTGGGCCCTTGTAGGGAAGCACTTGCCACTCTCCAGGCCAGAGCAGGGCCTCTCCCTGCCATGGCTGCTCTTCAGGGTCTCTGTGCCTCCCTCTTGGGGACAGCACTCTTCACAGCCCAGGCCTAGGCCCAGCGTTTGTCCCGAGTGCAAGTCGGACAATGCCTGGTGGCCCTCCCTCCTAGGGGATGGCCTCTCCCCACCGTGCTGGCTCTGGTGAACCTGGGTGCTATTCACCAGGAGACACCTGAGGCCCTGGGAAGGCTTCTCTCTGCTGTGCACAGGCTGGTAGCAGCACATCTGACATGCGGGGCCGCAGCACGGGCCCCACCCCGGATGGGCAGCCAAATGTTTGAGCAGGTGCTGCCTCGGGCAGAAGCTCCTGCCACACTCATGACACCAAAAGTGCCTCTGCACCCGAAGGGGATTCCACTGCGGCTGTGCACCGGCTCGCTTGCTCAACTTCTTCCAGGCCCTATGTGGCGGGTTCTTCGAGTAGCTTCTCTGCTGTGTCACTGAGTGGTTCTTCTTCCAGAAGTTTGGCCCACAGAGGGGGCAAGGATGCTGGGCACTCTCCCAAAAGGGGACTTCTTGCAAGCCAGGAGGACTCAGGGCTCCGAGACCTGGTATTCTCTCTGTCTGGGTAGACTCGCTGGAGCTGTGGCGTGTGAGGGTGAGAGCCCACGTGTCATGTTTCTGTGGGTTCCTGAGGGTGACGCCATGGCTGGGCCTGCAGGGTGCAGCTTCCCTTTCTCCTAAAAAGGGTCCAAAGGAATGCTGGCTCTGAAGAGGATCTAAGCAGAGGTGAGGAGACTTAGCTTCTCCTGAATCCACAGCTTGCTGGCTTCCTAAAATAGCAAACAAAACTTCAGTTAGCATTCCTATTTGTGGCATGACTAAAATTGGTCACCAGTAAGTCATCTGTAAGTGACCACTGGGCCTCATAACCACACAGTGTGGTTCTCGTCCGTGACCAAGACAAGTTTGGTGACAGTCTGTTGAACTTATACTGAACGGACATCTTAGAATAATAGTGAAGAGAGAAAAGTACAGGTCGCAGATGCAGGAATCAGAGTCGGTTTGATGCCCCACTGTCCACTGTGCAGCCTTTGTCAGGCTAATCGCTTTTGGCCTCAGCTCCCTCTCTCATAAGAAATCACCCCCGGGAGTGATCAAGCTCCCTCTCTCATAAGAAATCACCCCCGGCTGTGATCACCCCATAGTCCCCTCTCCTCCATTCTCCTCTCAGGATTTTGGGCACATGTACACATGAGCCCTGTGTGATTTTCACACTGCTGGATCCAGGACTCGAACCGCTCCGTCAGTCATATGGAATCTAGCCACGTTAGCCTCCATGCCACCTGCTGATTTCTTTCACTTTTTTGTGGGGGGAGGGTTGCCACAGTGCATGTGCACTTGCCAGCAAGAGACAGACAGTGAGAGGGAAAGTGAGAAATCTTCCCCCAGGGGGAGGGCCACACCACAATCCCTTCTCAATTCTCCTCCTGAGATTTTGAGCACACGTGCCCAGCATGATTTTCAAGCTGCTAGGTTCAGAGCTTGAACCACAGTCGACTGTGTGGGAGTTCCACACCTTAACCACCACATCACCTGCTGGCCCTGCCCCTGATTTCTTAATACTCACTCCCAAACAGCTCTTGGTCAGTAAGTGGATCAAAATGCAAATCAGCAGAGGAGCATATTATGCTTCCTGATTTGTGTGATTCTTCCCAGTTCCCGAAGGGCTCGCTCTCCTGTTCAATCCAAGATATTAGCTCCGGTTTGGGAAGTCCATCATCTGCAGGGAGAGGTCAGATAGGGTAGTTTAGCCTCCTTGAGCACTCAATGAAAGGCACATAAAGGTGTTTCTCCATTCCTCAAAATCCATTCCTGGGACAATGTAGTAAAAGAGATGTCAAAAGACAGCTTGTAAGTTTATACAAAGAGGAGCAAAACTCTCCACACGTCCTAACAGTGCTTCCTTATCTATTAGGTCTGCTAGACCAGATGTGGTTTTAGTCATGGTCCCCATACATCCAGTAATGCTGCATTCTGCCTAAAATCAAAATGGCAAATGCTTCAATATTTGAAATTATTTAATAATTAAATTTAATAACAATTTATTTAATCAATAATCAAATTATTTAATAATAGCCAAATCTCAGGTGTTCTTTTGTTTTGTTACCTTAAGAGAGGTTTTTGCTATAGGGTGCATGTGCTTGCCAGAAAGACAGAGAGAGACAGAGAGACAGAAAGTGAGAAATCACCCCCCAGGGGGGATGGCCATGCCGCAATCCCTTCTCCTCCATTCTCCTCTCGGGCCCTTGGGCACGCATGCCCACGTGCCTGGCATGAACTTAAGCCACTGGGTCTGGGACTCAAACCACAGTCAACTATGTGGGAGTCCAGCGACATAGTCATTCCACTAACTGCTGGTCCCAGGTGTTCTTTCTTTTTAGTTTGCCATAGGGCACATGTCTGCATCAGAGACAGACAGAGAGGAAGAGAAAGAAAGGGAAAAAGCACCATCTAGGGGGATGGCCACATCATTGTTTTAACCACCATGCTACCTGGCTAGCCAAATAGGAGTTTCATTTTAAAACAATTTTGGCGGATGCAAAAATTGGGTCAAAAAGGATTTTAAAAAACAATGCTGTAATTTTTTACTTAAAATATTCTTAGCACATGGAAGAGTGAGGAGAACAACACACAAACGCCTGGGTGCCACTGAGTTGTGTTGGATCTTACCACGGTGACATGCCCGTTCCAGGTTCCTTACATCTCTGAGTTGCTGCACAGCCTCGTCTCTGCATAGCCCTCTCCAGAGGAGAGCACAGCCCTGAACTTAGTTTTCTTCATTCTCATGCATGTATGTTTATATGACTTTAAATATTTTTATTATTATTTATTTACAGAAGGAATTACTCTATTTATTATTATTATTTAATTTGACCAGAGAGAGACAGAGGAAAAGTGAGAAAGCAAGCCAAGAGGTCTGGGACTTGAGCCACGGTCAGCCATGTGGGAGTCCAGCACCCAGCAAGAAATCACCTGCCAGAGGGGATGGCCATGCCGCAATTCCTTCTCCACTTTCCTCTCAGCATTTTGGTCATGCACCCACACATGCCTGGCATGAGTTTTAAGCCGCCAGATCTGGGACTCAAACCGTGGTCAACTACGTCAGAGTTCAGCAATGTAACCATTATGCCACCTACAGGTCTCCTGTTATTATTATTTTAAAGAGTACTTATATAATTTTATTTATTCCATTCATTTATTTTTTAATTTGACTATAGAGAGATACAGTGAAAGAGAGAAAGCAAGTCACGCACCAGGTCCAGAACTTGAACCATAGTCAGCCATGTGGGAGTGCCCAATGCCTTAACCACTACACCACCTTTTATTATTTTTTTAAGAGGTTTTGGCCTTAGGGTGCATAGTTCACTTGCTAGAGAGAGACATACAGTGAGAGGGAAAGTGAGAAATCCCCCCCCCGGGGGATGGCAACCCCACAATCCCTTCTCCTCCATCATCTCCTCCATTCTCCTCCCAGGATATTGGTTATTCACGCACATGCACCTGGTGTGAGTTTCAAGTCACCAGGTCTAGGACTTGAACTGTGATTGGCAATATGGGAGTCCAGATATGTAACTGCTATGTAATCTGCTGGTCCCTTATTTTTAAAAGATATAGAAGGCCAGAGGACTAGCAGATGGCATAGTGGCTACGTTGCTGGACTCCCATGTAGTCGACTGTGGTTCAAGTCCTGGACTAGGGACTTGAACACATGCCAGGCACGTGTGCGTGTGTGCCCAAAATCCCGAGAAGAGAATGGAGGAGAAGGGAATATGGTGTGGCCATCCCCCTGGAGGGGGGATTTCTTGCTTTCTGTCTCTCTTTGTCTTTCTGGTGAGCACATGCACCCTATAGCAAAAACCTCTCAAAAAAAAAAAATTCTAAGTCAAAAATGTATTTAATACACCTAACACACTGAACAAATCGATCACACCTTAGCCTCAACTACCTTAAACGTGCTCACAACACTTACATTTAGCCTGCAAGTGGGCCACATCATCCAACACAATGTCTGTTACATAATAAAGTGTTCAATATCTCATGCAGTCTATTGAGTACCGTACTGAAAGTATACAACAGAATGGCTGTGTGGGGTCAGCAGATGGTGTAGTGGCTACATTGCTGGACTCCCAGATGGCTGACCATGGTTTGAGTCCCAGATACAGTGGTTTGAAAATCATGCCAGGCACATATTTGTGCGTGCCCAAAATCCCAAGAAGAGAATGGGGACACAGAGACTGCGATGTGGTCAACCCTTCTGGGGGGTGATTTCTCACTTTCTGTTTCTCTGTCTCAATGGCAAGTGCACGTGCTCTATAGCAAGAATCTCTCTCAAAACAAACAAACAAACAAACAAAACAGAATGACTAGGGCTGGCAGATGGTATGGTGTTGAGGTGCTGAATTCTCACGTGGCCAACCACAGTTCAAGTCCTGGCCTGGGCAGCTTGCTTTCTCTCTTTCATCAAATTGAAGAATAAGAAATAAATTAAATTAAATAAATATTTCTTAAAAAAAAAAAAATACAGGATGGCTGGCTGGGTACCCAGAGTATAGCTTCCACTGAATGCATGTAAATCACTTTTGTACTGTCATAAACTCAAAAAAATCTAAGTCAAACCATTGTAAGCCAGGAACGTCTGTATCAGAATCCTCTCAATATAAGAAGTGCTATGGCTGTCAGAGTTAGCAGGAGAGATGGTGGGAAGCACATGAGAACTAAATACCTTATACTGAGGCCAGCAGGTAGCACAGTGGTTAAAGCACTGGAACCCATATGGCCAACTCTGTGGTTTGAATCCCAGATCCGGTGGCTTGAAAAACATGCATGCATGTCCAAACTCCTGCAAGGAGAATGGAGGAAATGGGTAGTCAATCCCCTCTCCATGGGGAGGGGGTGAACTGATTTCTTACTTTCCCTCTCTCTTTCTCTCTGTCTCTCTCTGGTGAGCACACACAATTTTGGTGAAAAAAATCTAAAATATGCAGTGTATTCATGATAGGAAAATCCATTTGGTATGCTAATGATACACAGTAATTACATATATAAAAATTATTAAAAAAAAAACAACTTATTTTTTTAAAGAGAGAATTTTGCTATAGGGCATGTGCACTTGCCAGAGACAGAGTGACAGAAAGCGAGAAATCACCCCCCATGGGAGATGATCATGACACAATTCCTTCTCCTCCTCTCTCCTCTTGGGATTTTGGGTATGCATGCACATGTTCCCGGCATGAGTTTTAAGTCCAAAGATGTTACCATTACACCATCTGCTGGTCCTAATACCTTATTTTCATATACTTAAGGAGTCAAGGGATATAAAGTTGATAAAACATAATCTAGAACTTTAAATGTATTGTTTTATATTATAAACCTAACCAAGGGCCAGCTCATGGCATGGTGGTTAAGGCAGCTAGATAGTTGACTGCACGGTTCAAATCCCTGACCCAGTGGCCTGAAAAACACACCAAGCACGTATGTATGTGTGTCCAGAACCCTGAAAAGAGGAAGACATGGAGGAGAAGGGACTGTGGTGTGACTATCCCCCATGGGGGAGATGCTCTCTCTTCTCCCTCACTTTGTCTTTCTCTGGTAAGCACATGCACCCTTGTGGCAAAATTAAAAACAAAAATGAAAATAAAAAAACTCTAACCAATGGACACACACACACACAATTATCAAAAATTGGGGAGAAGGAGAAAAAGGAGATAGAAGAATAGCGTAAATGAGCTAATGCCTCATTTTCCACAGTAATTAATGCTGTCTAAGCTCTTTATATATAAAAAACGGTGTAAGCCCGTTTAGGTGGGAGGCAACAACTTTAAGAACCAAAACAGAATGATTACAATTGGCATAAGAATGAAATAGATATTTATCTTTCATTCGATACTTCTCTGAAAAGACTCATTTTTTTTTTTCTTTTTTTGGAGAGGTTTTTGCCATAGGGCACGTGCACTCACCAGACAGACAGAGAGAGACAGAGACAGAAAGCGAGAAATCACCCCCCAGGGGGGATGGCCACGCCGCAATCCCTTCTCCTCCATTCTCCTCTCAGGATCTTGGGCACGTACGCACATGTGCCCGGCGTGAGTTTTAAGCCACCGGGTCTGGGACGTGAACCACCGTCGACTACATGGGAGTCCAGTGACACAGCCATTACGCTAACTGCTGGTCCCAAAAGACTGATTTTTTAAATTCATATTTGATGGGACTCACAGATGGCATAAAGTTTAAGTCGCTGGACTTCCACATAGTTGACTGTGGTTCGAGTCCCAAACCAGTGGTTTAAAACTCATGTTGGGCGTGCGTGCGTGCATGCCAAAGACCCTAAGAGAATGGAGGAAAAGAGACTGTGGTGTGGCCATCTCCCCTGGGGAGTGATTTCTCACTTTCTGTCTCTCTCTGTCTTTCTGATGAGTGCACACGCCCTATAACAAAAATCTCTCTAAAATAAATAAATGTTTTAAAACCCATATTTGATAAGTGAAATACACAGATCAAATAAGCAAAAAGAACATCCTTTAGCACAAGCACACAGAGACAGCTACTCTTAAACACCTCAGTGTGTAGCCTCCCCAAATCTCTTTCCAGGGAAGAACGCTACTTTTCTGAAGTGTTTATACCCCACAGTCGAAGCGGTGAGGTAGGACTCCCTGAGGTGGTACACAGGGAACTTCACAAGCACAAACGAAGTTGCTCCTCGGGAGACACTGGTGACCTGAGAGCGGTGGTCACTAAAGCTTCCCTCGGTCACCTCTGACCACGTCACAATGTCTACCCTTCAGTAGGACTGGTGACACTTACGGAAGGAGTAACGGAAGAATGTATGGCACGATGGCTCTCTTGGTTAATTCTGAGACATCTTGCTTGACAACCAGGAGCATCGAGTGACTGTGGCCCCTGATGGGATCCAGTTCCTACTTCCCCACCAGGTTGAATGCGTCTTACCCAGAGAGACAAGAGTCTCGTAGTTGGCTCTCATCACGTGTTTGTAAAGCTCCTTCTGCCACCCCTCTAGGTCCCGCCATTCTTGCTCCGAGAAATAAATGGCAACATCCTCGAAAGTCAGAGGGAACTGCAATTACAGACAAGATACACAGACAGTCACGACCGCTTTAGAACGACTCCAGCTCCTTCTGATCATTAATTTAAAAGTAGAGGACAGGGGACAGCAGGTGGCATGGTGGTTAAAGCACTGGATACTCCCACTTGGCCGATTGCAGTTCTAGTCCTGGACCTGGTGGTTTGCTTTCTTGCTTTCTGTGTGTGCGTCTGGTCAAATGAAAATAAATGAAAGAATAAATAAAATTAAATAAATAATTCTTTAAAAAAAAAAAAAAAAAGGCTGAAAAGAATAGCCTGAGCCAGACGGGGCATAGTGGCTAAGGTGGCTGGGTCGTACATGGCAACCACAGTTAGAGCACTGGACTCGGCCACTTGAAGGGCACACCAGGAATGTGTTTGCATGCCCAAAATCCCATGAGGAGAATGGAGAAGGAATTGTGGCATAGATAGCTCTCCAGGGGTGTGTGGGGGGGAGTTCTCACTACTTTCCCTCTCTCTCTGGCAACTGCATGAAACCAAGAGCAAAAAATAAAAAAAAGAAAAAAAGAAAAAGGGCTCCGTCAGAGGGTATAAACATCTTTGCTTTTAGTAGTCCAGATGGTGACGGTGGGAAAACACTGACCCTGTGTGCGGCTGGCCCACACGGAAAGGGTGTGTGCACGCTCATGATGGGGTCTGGCTGAGGCGGGCGTGGATCGCTGCATCAAGATCTGTTGGAGATGCAGGCTGTCTGTGTCTCCCTCTCTCATGAAAGAAATAAACTTTAAAAAAAAAAAACCTTTGCTTGTGAGCCAGCAGGTGGCATGGAGGTTAGATAGCTAGATCCCACATGGCTTACTTTGCAGTCTGAGTTCCGAACCCAGAGGCTTGAAAATCACATGTGTGTGCTTCCCAGAATCCTGCGAGATTGGCAGAAAAGGGATTGCACAGAGCCATCGTCCCTCGGGGGTGATTTCACACTTTCCCTGGCCGTGTCTCTCCAATGGGGCACGTTCATGCTGCAATTTTTCTACTTTCCATCCTACTGGGATGTTGGACAAGCATGCACACACACCTGGCACGTTTTTCAAGCTGCCAGGGTATGATTCAAATCATACAGTTGGTCACGTGGGATTTGGCTCCTTTAACCACCAAGGGACCAGTCTTCGTATTTAGATTTTTTTTATTCATTGGGAATGTATCTCACTCTAACAAAGTTTTTGATTCCAAATGGAAAAGTGAAGTGTCCCAACAGGGCTTCTGAAGGTCTGTGTCCTGTGTTAGTTTCGTAGATCTGCCATTATAAAGACCATCGTCTGGGTGGCTTAAAACGATAGAAATGTATTGTCTGACAGATCTGGTGGCTGCAAGTCTGAAATGAAGACGTCACGTCTGCAGGACGCCTGCCCGCAGGCGGTGGGGACTTAGCCCGTGCGCGCTTGGCTCCTGGCGGCCGCTGTCTGTCCCGGGCGCTCCTCCTGCAGCCGCAGGACCGTCTCTGCCCCCACTGTCACGGCTGCGCTGCGTCTTCCTCTCTTAAAGGGACGCTGGTCGGACTGCATGAGGGGCCCACCCCTGAGAATTCTGCCTCACGGTGTCCGTGCTGAACTGTCCTAGGGTGCAAGATCGCGGCTGTGCCGAACAGCGACTCCGGCCCAGTCCCGCCTCTACCCTCCGCGGTCCGCCCCGCCCGGCCTAGAGCCACCGGCCCGCCCCAAGGCCCAGCCTGGACCCAGAGCAACCTGACTCGGTCCACCTGTTCGCCCCGCCCGGAACCCGAGCACCCGCCCCAACACTGAGCGCCCGCTGCCGGGCTGTCGTACCAGAGCCTGCTCGGTCCTGCCACCTTGCAA